TAAATTTTATCGGCCTTACTGATTTCATTTAAGATGCGACTTGTTCAAACATTTCTAATCAATGAAATGTGATAGGTAATCCATCATCCGCATAATAGCTAATGCTAATCTGCTTGCCACCTAAACATTTTCGCTGCATCGAATTACCCAACGCATCTACTTCACATACTTCATAATTGCCCATATTTGAGTGGCAGATTCACAGAGAAGAATCAGATGACTGCCAGAAACCTTCATTTGAATAGCGATTCATTGTGAATTACTTCCAAAGCGTCTGACTCCTCAGTATCCTTTAGTTGCGGTCAAGTCAAAATGACTATGATCACCACTAAATACGAATTACGAGCTCGTCATCGAAAAGGTGAATGAATACATGTTGAAGAATATATTTGCTGGAGAGGTACAATTGGTTATAATAATAAATGTTTCTATTAAACCAATCTCGTTCTCCACTGCAACCTCACACCATAAGGTGCAACGCAGAGTACTAGTAAAAGCATCAGAAATCAGAAGTTAATAACATTCGCAAACAGCTTGTTAGTACACAAATGTTGTGAATAAACCATTTAGGATTTCCTCAGAAATGCGATTCCATACAACAGTCTCAGTTTTATTAATCAGGCTCTGTAGCATTTGAAATATCACGTTAACCAGGAAGTTAAGAAAACAGAAAAAGACGATGTATGTGTAAACTATTCAATTTATATATTTGAGGACGAGAACAAATGTGGACCATAATGTAAGTATTACAAACAATTTATGAGAAACCTCTGACGTGGCAAGATTCGACACTGCAAAGCATTACTAGTAAAATATCTTATCTTCATAACAGTAACTAAAAATAAAGGCGAACTTTGGAAATTTACATACAAAAAAATCTTAAAAAATGCAACTCATGGTTTTTATCTTGATTGGTCAATGAAATCCTAGAAAGTCTAACGAAGAATATCCTTTTCGACAAACTCTCTTGAGCTTCTATAATCATATATTCAAACTATTAATTTGAGTAAAAGCTTTGCTCAAAACAAAATACCTCGTTAAATTTATAGTATAGGAATTTGGGATTTTCTTTGACAAAAATCTCTTATTTTGGAATTGTCATTATCACCTGCTCATTCGAATGAATTTACTTATAAAGTGAAACTCTGAGATTATTTATTCGAATAAGGAGTGGCGTAGTTGATAATGCTATCTCAAATCAAGAGCCACGTGATATGTAGAGTAACATGAAGTAGATACAAACTGGTGAAAAAAGTAGGTAACGAATAAATTTCTGAAAACATTTGTAGAAAACGTATTGAAAGGAATATTCCTGGTTAATAGGTATGAGTTGACTAAATAGATACCAGATCTTGTTTGCATAAACTAATACATATGAAACTGAGCTGGCTTTAATTACTGAGACAAAAACATGATATTGACAATTCAAAGTTTCTTCATTTAATAGTTGGGTGCAAGTGAGCTAGACAAGTACTTTAATTTGATCCTGCCTTTGAATCCACGTGATCACTCATTCTCAGACTCAGTCCAGACATTAATAATACTGTTCGATGAAAACTAGTCATTGCTTAATATTCGTTATCGATGTTTGAAGTTTATTATGAACGAAGACGATGATTTTCTTATGCATGTGAGAATCTTCAACCGTGAATGAGAACTTTCACGGTTGATGTCCTTATCTGAAGACAAGTTTTAAACCCACATCCTCATTTGCAGCCTCCAGTCCTAACAGTTCAGTGATATAAGAACACGGCTACTGTGTAGATAGGATCCTAAACCCACCCTTAGTGGAATTAACAATGAATACCAACGCCCCATTTATCTGCAATCAGACATAACTATGGTTCACAGTGGTGGGTCTAGTGGATCTGAAATACGAGTAGTGTGACACACACCTAACCAGAATAAATATACCCCTGTCACACCCAGTCCACATCCCTCCAATTCAATCTGACAGACTAAAACGAGTCCCCCTGTAGCACGCATAATCAGCTGTCAATGAAGGGCAGAGAGAATCTAAAATCACAACACACAAGGTTAATTCGACACCCCACACCAAGAGAGAACACGAGATTGATGTCACGGCACTCTTTTATTTCAAAATCAAATACGCGGGGTTTTTTACACGAATAGGGTGGGGTAGTGTACCAGTGTCTTATGAGTCATCTTGTAGGTTTAGAGCATTCAGGGCTTGCTCTTTAGCTTCCAAAGCATTTGTGTTTGATCGCCCTGAAACAGAAAGAAAACAGAACAAGTTAGCAACATCATACATAGTGATTTTGGCTCCGTTACACCCCAACCCCCGCTAGCTGGCACTGTGGTGCATGACACTGTGTGAAACTGCCGATTCAGGCGACACTGATGCAGAAAGCTGAGTAACGTAATGGGTCATTAAGATGGCTTGTGTCTTAGGAGGGAGCCCAATTGATCCACAAGCACCAAAGGACTGTTCCAGGATCCTGTATCTCTTCGTTTAGCCTAATATCTTCTTATCGAAGCTCATCCCCAGGCGAGAGGAAATTCATTACCCTTAATATTAAAGGGCATCCGTTAAGATTGCAGATAGATACGGCATCTGATGTCACCACCCTCTAAAGTAGAATTTGGACCAAAATGGACAGCCCAAGCCTGCAGCGGACAACACAAATCCTCCTACTGCATGTGGCAATTGCCCTCGTCTGTTGGGACAACTGGAATGTAAATTTACTTTCCGAGATTCGTCGTTTACTGGGGCACGTTATATAACGCTAGCTGATCTAAATTTACTTGGTTTAGATTGTTTCGATCAGCTAAAATTAGCTGATGTCCACTTGAATAGCATACGCCACCTTGTATCATGACCAAATGACCCTCAGGCGTATACGAGGAAGCTAATAACAGTTTCCAACTATTTTATAACATGGATTAGGTTGGTGTTCGGCCATGAAAGCAACACTTCGGTTGAAACCTGGGGCTAAGCCTGTGTTCGATCCGAGGAGTCCCGTGCCTTATGCAACATTAGCAACAGTAGATGAAGAATTGAGTCACCTTCAACAGCAAGAAGCTATTATGTCCATTTTTTACTCTGCGTGGGTAGCACCTATAGTTATTATCAAGAAGGCCAACAGCACGATAAGTATATGTGCTTACTTTTCCACAGGTCTCAGCGCAACTCTGGAACAGCACCATCCCCTGTCAGTTCAACGAGATCTGTTTAATATGCTGAATGGGGGAAAGTTCTTCTCAAAGCTCAATCTAGCTGATGCTTATTTTCAAGTGGAAGTAGATGAAGCATCAATAGAGCTGCTTACTATCAATACTAATTGTGGTTCGTTCCAGCATAACCATTTGCCTTTCGGAGTCAAGACTGTCTTATCTATCTTCCAGCAACTAACGGATACCATACTATCAGGTATCTCGGGGGTCGCGGCTCATCTCGATGACGTTTCAATTGTTTCAATGACATAAGAACAGCTACAGAAACTCACGATATTGTTACTGCGACGCAGTAGTGACAAAAGGCTCTGGTTACGCATGGAGAAAAACACCTGTTTTTCTTGTAATCGGCATAGTATTTGCGGTTCATCTTTGATGCCGATGGCCACAGACCAGAACCCGAGAACATCCGAGCTACCAAACTGATGCTTACTCCCACTAATGTCTCGGCACTATGCTCCTTCATGGGATTTGTTAGTTATTATTCAGCGTTCGTTCCTTCGACGCATGATATGCGAGCTCCGTTGAACTGTCTAATGCAGAAGAACAGCACTTGGAACTGGACTAAAGACTGGAACGCGGGGTTTTGTTAACTCAAGTCCATAACTAGCTCGGAATTGTTGTTTACACACTACGATCCATCCATGCCGATCAATGTGTGTTATTTCGCATCAGTTTCCATAGGCATCAGAAAAAGATGTTATTCATTCATCCCGCACACTAACCACGCCAGAAAAGAAGTACAGCCAGATAGAGAAACAGGATGTTACCCTTGTGTTTTCTTTGCATTATTTCCACAAGTTTCTGTGCAGTCGGAGATTCACACTTCTCACAGATCACAAGCCTCTGCCCACAATATTCGGGTCAAAATCTGGCATTCCAGTTCATTCTGAAAATCGTCTTCAGCGATGGACCTTAGAACTTTTGTGGTATGATTTCGAAGACCATTACCGACTCATTCAACAATCCGGTCAGGAAGATGCTTTATCACGACTAATATATGATCATTTGATGGCTGAGGAAAACATGGTGATTGCATCTCTGTCAGCGGAAGACCATGCAGAATGTTAGCTGACAACTGCGAAACGGGCATTGCCAGTGTCTACCACAGACAAAAAACGCTTCTAGGAACGACCCCATCATCAAGATGACAATGAGCTATGTCGACACCAGCTGGCTGCCTAAGAAGTTTGATGGTGATGTGCAGCAGCTGCGGCAGAATTCGCTATGCATTGTAAACGTTTGCTTGATGTGTGGAGAAAGAGTGGTTGTGCCAGAATCCCTTACTGATTACCACGGTTGCCATACGATCAAAATGCATTATAAAAACCTGATTTAATGCAGTATATATCTTCTTAAACCCGAATACAATTACTATTGCGATACTAGAGACCTAAAATGCAACATTTTTATCAACAGATTCCATTTATATGCATATAAGCTGACAAACCATAGAGCAAACGGGGAAATGAAGCACGGATATTGAGGTATCGTCAAGAGAGATGTTTGAGCTATGTCAATAGAATTGCAAAATAGTTAATGAATAATTTTTAGACAGTCATTCTATCAAACACGCGTAAATTCGTTAATGGAGAAATGTACTATTTAATTATACAAGTTAGACTGAAATTATTTGCAGGATATAAATGGCTTATTTGCATACTCCATTATTATTATATCCTGACAGTGCAACTAAAAGACATTTATTCTACCATGCCATCATACAGTTGTTGGTTTCAAGAAATGGCAACGTTGTTGTTTGAAATTATATGTACTACGCGCTTTTTCCGTATTGACCGCGAAATATGCGGGAATACAAGTTAGTTGTGCTAGGAAGTGGTGGAGTTGGGAAGAGTGCTCTCACTGTACAGTTTGTACAAGGGATTTTCGCCGAAAAATATGACCCAACTATCGAAGACAGCTATCGAAAACAGGTTGAAATCGATTCTCAACAATGCATGCTAGAGATTTTAGACACAGCAGGAACTGCAAGTCACATTTTTTAATAATATAAGTCATTAACTTATAGGAGCAATTTACGGCGATGAGAGATCTCTACATGAAAAATGGACAGGGGTTCCTCCTTGTTTATTCCATTACATCTCAGTCTACTTTCAACGATCTTAGCGAACTTCGGGAACAAATTCTCCGCGTCAAAGATGTTGATGAGTTTCCCTTAGTTCTGGTTGGTAATAAGTGTGATTTGGAAGACGAGAGAAGTGTTGGTAAAGAGCAAGGACAAAACTTAGCCAATGAATGGAAGTGTCAATTCATGGAAACTAGTGCTAAAGCTAAACTCAATGTTAATCAGGTGGGTATCTTGCATTCAGCGTCATGTTTTGTGCATAATTCATTAGAAATTAGTGTCATCATGCATCCATATATATTTAGTTCGGGTCGGTTATTCGATCTCAACTAGGAATTTTTTTGTCAAAGTCGTGACTGTTCTCATAGTTTTGAACGTCCAATAGATGCCATTCTCGTACAGCTTTTCCTGCCTAAATCTGATTTATACTTGGTTACAACACGACATGCAGCTTTTCGAAACTGTTGATAAAGTGTTAAGTTTCAACACGTCACTAGTCATAGATGTATGACCGACCCCACCTGTTATCCTTTCTTCATATGTGAGGGAGACCAGTGTCAATGGTTTATGTGGTTTTGGAACTGCTGATCCAGAATTAGTATTCAGTAGTAGCAACCAACGTTGACCAGTCAGTAATTTAAGATTTTTTAGATTAGACGAAATTCACACCACGCGGTTTGCTGTATGGCTTGAAAAGAAAATCATTGCTCAAAATTACAGTATGAAAAAGTCACTCAATATAAAATAAAAACTAATATTAATGGAGTCTTCTAAGTATGGTCCGCGAGGATAACTATCACAGCAAAAAAAATTCTGGCCATAGTCATTTAGTTAGTACTCAGTCTGTCATTTACAACGTTGAACTTCGTACATACATAAGTTCAGGTTGCCACCACATTATCACACAGACGCAATTGTCAGCGTCTTCACCACGTTGAACTGTGTCGGTGAAATATTATAAATCAACAACAGTGCCTCTTGATAGGTCACCTGAAAGACAGACAGATACATCGCAGAACTTCGTACGTGAGCACATCAGTTCAGGTTGCCATACCACATCAGCACAGAGACGTAACTGTCAATCCAAATCCAAGAGTGATAGCGATAGTAGAAGTATTAGCAGTAATGGAGAAGATTAGGGAGCGAGGATATGATTCGAGAAGTATAATTCAGTGAGATAAATTTAGGAGTGGATGCACTTGCGCCATTGTAAACGATTCTGAGCCATGTCGTTCAAGGTCTCTAACCATCGATCACTGTTGTGTTCTATGATATTCTAATCTTTTGAATTCGTTATCACCTCTACCTTCGTCTTTTTAAACTTATCTCGCTGAATTGTACTTCTTGAATATTGTTTTCAAATCCTAATCTTCTCCATTAGCAGTAATTCTTCTACTATCTCTACCACTATGGGATTTGAATTGACAGTTGCATCTCTGTGCTAATGTGGTATGACAACATGAACTGATGTACTTACGTACGAAGTTCTACGTTGTAACTGGCTAGCTGACTAAAGGGAAAGCATGCTATTCAACTTTTAATTTTTAAGATGAGGTACAGATGTCAACTAAGTGCTAGAATAAAAAAGTACGATAATACTATCGTACACTTAGTTGTAAAAAACTCCCCAAAAGGCCTAGTGTGTAGGGAGGATCCACTTGAGAGTTGGGAATCCCTAAATTCAAACCAATCGTGCAAAGGCCTCAGTAAACCGAGGTAGCAAATAGAGTCGCTGGTCACTATGGCATTAAGGCTCTTAACGCTGCTTTACTGCCATATGGATCAGAGCTGCTGATCTAAGACTACGTGTACGGTCTACTGACAAAATCAACTGCTACTACTTGAGAACCCCGGGTGCCGTCCAAACCTAAGCACAGACGTGCCTGCTCCGATCACGACGAAGAGCGAAGTCAGCTTAAGCACAGGCCGATAAAAAGCCTACGCAATGGTCGAAAACAGTGGTGGGTAGTGAAAACGAAAGCGATAGAAAAGGCAGTAATGATATGTGACAGTAGACAACTGTCCAGACTTATCAGGGACACTGCTACTAGGGATCTATCTGTTAGTGAAAGGATAGTCGTACTACTCATTCTCAAACCAGGAGATTAGATTGATGGATAGAACACTTTCAGGGTCAATCCGACTGGTCCCCAACCACACTTCAGTTGCCCACGATCTCCAGTCGACCTGAATGTCAAATTGATGAAAGTCCTCCGACTCTTAATGAAACGCTATTGGAAATCTAAAGCGAGAGATAGCAGCACGCCCTCTGAAATTTTTAACGATGGTAGTCCAGTCCTAGCAGTTAGATTGACTGAAACCTTAGTTAGAATCTGGGGAGAGGAAGTTATCCCATCTGACTGGTCTCAATTACTAATTGTCGCAATCTATAGAAACGACAAAAGCCCTCCTCTGACAATCACAGGAACCCGTTTGACTAATATAGTGTCCAGGATATTAGCTGCAATAATACCTCGAAGCTTATCTAGGGCTCGTGAAGAGCAGACTCAAGAAAATCAGGCTGATTCAAGACCTGGATGTGGCTGTATAGACGAGATGTTCACACTACGACACGTCTTAGAACATAGACACACTCTTCGATGTCCGACAAAAGTTGTATTCCTTGACCTTAAAGCGGCAATCGACTCTGTCGATCGTGAGGTTCTGTGACAGCACTTACTTACTTACTTACGCCTGTTACCCCCAATGGAGCATAGGCTGCTCACCAGTTTTCTCCAATCAACTCTGTCCTCGGCTTCCCTCTCCAGTTCTTTCCACTGTTCGTTCATTCCTCTCATATCTTTCTCTATTTCACGGCGTAATGTGTTCCTTGACCTTCCTCTTTTCCTTTTGCCTTGAGGATTCCATGTGAGGGCTTGTCTTGTGACGCAGTTGGGTGCTTTTCGTAGTGTGTGTCCTATCCACTTCCACCTCTTCTTCCTGATTTCCTCCTCCACTGGAATCTGGTTTGTTCTCTCCCACAGTACGTTGCTGCTGATCGTGTCTGGCCAATGAATACGAAGTATTTTGCGTAGCCAACTGTTAATAAACACTTGTATCTTCTGGATGATGGCTTTGGTAGTTCTCCAGGTTTCCGCTGCATACAGTAGAACTGTCTTGACATTTGTATTGAAAATGCTGATTTTGGTTTTGGTTGAAAGTTGTTTGGAGTTCCAGATATTTTTCAACCGTAGAAACGCAGCCCTTGCTTTGCCAATCTGCACCCTCACATCTGCATTGGATCCACCTTTCTCGTCGATGATGCTGCCCAGATATGTAAAGGTGTTAACGTCCTCCAAGGCATCTCCATCAAGAGTGATTTGGTTGGTGCATGTTGTGCTGCATTGGAGAATTTCGCTTTTTCCTTTGTGTATGTTGAGACCTACTGCTGCAGAGGCTGCAGCTACACTGATCGTCTTCTGTTGCATTTGTTGTTGCGTGTGGGATAGAAGAGCCAGGTCATTTGCGAAGTCCAGATCGTCCAGCTGTGTCCTAGCTGTCCACTGAATACCGCGCTTCCCTCCAGATGTCGACGTTTTCACAATCCAGTCGATGACCAGGAGAAAGAGGAAGGGTGAGAGTAAGCAACCTTGCCTGACACCGGTCTTCACATCGAAAGAGTTTGTCAGCTGACCTCCGTGCACGATTTTGCAGTTGAATCCATCATAAGAATTCCGTATGATGTTAACTATTTTCTCAGGCACACCGTAGTGTCGAAGAAGCCTCCACAGTTTTCCTATCCACACTATCGAATGCTTTCTCGAAGTCGATGAAGTTGATGTAGAGTGGTGAGTTCCATTCAATTGATTGTTCCACAGTGATCCGTAATGTAGCAATTTGGTCAGTACACGATCGATCCTTACGAAATCCGGCCTGTTGATCTCGAAGTTGGACGTCTACGAAGTCCTTCATTCTGTCTAAAAATACCCTGTTGAAGACTTTGTCTGGTATTGAAAGAAGAGTGATGCCTGTGTAGTTCTCACACATGCTGAGATCGCCTTTCTTTGGTATTTTGATCAGGTATCCTTCTTTCCAATCTGATGGTACTTGTTCGTCATCCCAAATCTTCTCGAAGAGGTTGTGAAATATTTTCTCAGTTGCTTCTACATCTGCTTTCATTGCCTCTGCTGGAATGTTGTCTGGTCCTGCTGCTTTGCCGCTCTTGATTTGTCTGATGGCCATACTGATCTCCTCAATCGTAGGTGCGCCAATATTATTGGGATGTCCTTGGATGCTGCTTCGATGTTGGGTGTGTTCAGTGGAGCTGGTCGATTCAATAGTTCCTGAAAGTGCTCTACCCACCTATTTCTCTGTTCTTCAATGTTGCTGATTACTTTGCCTTCCTTGCTTTTCACTGGTCGTTCCGGTTTACGATAGTTTCCGGCGAGCTTCTTTGTTGTTTCGTACAATTGTCTCAAGTTTCCGTCTCTTGCAGCCTTTTCCGCCGTCATTGCTAGATCTTCCACATATTTTCGTTTGTCAGCTCTGATGCTCTTCTTCACTTCCCTGTTTGCTTCTGTGTATTCAGCTTGTGCGGTAACTTTCTCTGCTCTTGTTCGGCTGACATTGATTGCTGCTTTCTTGTTCCTCCTTTCTTCAATTTTTTCAAGAGTATCAACAGAGATCCATTCCTTGTGATGGTACTTCTTGTGACCCAGAACTTCGTGACATGTTGAAGTGATTGCCTCCTTGATCCCTTTCCAATTGTTCTCCAATGTTGCTTCCTCTCCGTTGATTATATCGTGCAAGGCCTGGAACCTATTGTTGAGGGCTATCTTGAATTCGTTGAGTTTTACGGTATTCCGAAGAAAGGCTGTATTAAACTTCTGTGATGTTGTCTTACCCGCTGTCCAGTGCTTCTTTAGTTTCAGTTTCATTTTGGCGATCAGCGAGTGGTGATCTGATGTTATAACAGCTCCTCTCTTGGTTGTCACATCCTCCATGGTCCTTCCGAACGTTTTGTTGATACAGATATGGTCAATTTGGTTTTGAGTAGTGTGGTCCGGTGAAATCCATGTGGTTTTGTGAATGCGTTAGTGCGGGAATATTGTGCCACCGATGACCAGTTTTGTTGAAGGCACATAGGTTTGCGAATCTCTCACCGTTTTCGTTCCTTTCTCTCAGTCCATGTCGTCCCATGATGTCTCCATATCCAGTGTTGTCCATTCCAACATTGGCATTCGGGTCTCCCATAAGAATCGTCAAATCCTTTGGTGAACATTTCTCGACGATTGACTGCATCCTGTCGTAGAATTGATCTTTAACGTCGTCATTGTAGTCATTGGTAGGTGCATAACATTGGATGACGTTCATTGTAATGTCCTGTTTCTTTGTTTTGAAGGATGCTTTAATTATCATGGGTCCATGAGATTCCCATCCTATCAGTGCTGTTTGTGCATGTTTGGACAGTATCAGTGCAACTCCTTGTGTATGTGAAGCATTTTCCTCTTCATGACCAGAGTATAACAGCAGTTCCCCTGAAGCTAGTCTCAGTTGTCCTACCTGTGTCCAATGAGTTTCACTGATGCCGAGCACCTCGAGGTTGTATCTTTTCATTTGTGCCGCAACTTGAAATAGTCTTCCAGTCTCCCACAATATACGAACGTTCCATGTACTTAAAAAAAATGGTTGCTCTGGTTGTCAGAAGAGGCATCGGCCTCGTGACTTCCGACGGAACTCGGCTTTCATCATGCGACGTCATAATTCTTCTTCCAACTCCCAGGGCAGAGTTGAAATGGTTTGAACTAGTTTTTCTGGTTAGCGTTTTTTTGGCAAGTTAGATTTCGACGGAATGGGGTCGTCAACCCCATGTCCAACCCTCCTCCTTTATCCGGGCTTGGGACCGGCAGTAGACCCGAAGGTTCTACTGGAGGGGTTTTCTGTGACATTGTCTCATTAAAAGGTGCACCAAAGAAGTACACTAACCTTTTGCAAGCTCTCTACTCGGACACTACTGGTCGAGTCAGAGCTTATGATGGATGAACTGTCTTCGCAATTCAATACCTCGAGTAGTGTTTGTCATGGTTGTCTGCCTTCTGCATTCTTGTTTAGCTTTGTCATAGACGTGCTTTTGGAGATAACATCTTCGTCTGACTTTTCAGGAGTGGCTGTTACCTTGTCGTAGTGATCATGCTTGCCTATCGTGATGACCCAACCGAGCTATACGGACTGGAACGTACGTTCCTGAAGGTTCTACTATGCCATGCAGGTCGATCGAAGAACAATTAGACTAGAAGTAGCTACTCAAGGTCTGAGGGCGAAGTCGTACTGCTGACTGCAGAGGGGTGTGACAGCAGTAATGTGTTTCCCTCGGACAACCAGCATCTGCAGCGATGCTGCCTTCTCACAAGGAACGAAGGGTTAGAAAAGGTCGACCCTAAAAATGTCACACCTCATCCTACCTCACAGATTTCCGTCTCTGGTGGTAAAGGTACCCACTAAGGGCTTTTAAGAGCGGAGCTAATACTCAAAAACCTTTTCATCAAAAGGCTGTACGTGACCGGCCTCAAGCAATTGTCCCCCGGGATCTGCGGTCACGCTCCCAGGTCTCTAAGACCAACACTAATCTACCTCCCTTTTCAGGTCCCTCAAGAAACAACCTTCCAAGGTGTGGGCAGCCGAGAAGTGACAACCGCCCTCATACCCCTAACAGCACACGAGATCGAATCCTTCCTACACCCCCTAACATCTTTCTTACCTCCACGATTAACTCTTCTCACAGCCCTTTATCACACTGCACAGCTAATGCAAACGATGCGAGTTCACAAAACGTCATTCTTGGTCTCCTGAACCCCTATTCTAAACTAAACGTTGGTGCACATACAGGATCCTAGTAAAATCATTAATTTGATTTCACCTTGTCAAAATAAAGAACCAACTCGATTTACTCTTCTTGTTTCTGGAATCCCCGATGCTGCTTCCCGGGCTCTCGCTGGTGTAGGTATCGCATTGAGTCGTAGGGCAGAACTAGCTCTCCTAGACTGGATCCCAGTAGATAGTCGCTTGTGCGCTGTTCGACTAAACGGGACAGTAAGGACTCGGAAAGCTAGGGAAACTCGACGTTGCCTATTCGTCGTATCTGACTGCAGCTCAGTAACGTACCAATATCCTCTAATTCTACCGGCCGTGATTCACATCTATATAGTAGGACGAGGCGAACTACCGCGCAGTAGACTCGTCCTTTGGTTAGCGAACGGATATCTCGCCTACACCACCAATAACGTAAATTGGCAAAAGTCAATCGAGCTTTCTGTATCCGTGCTCAGATTCCGTCAGTCACCAGTCCATCAGTACTGATGAGACTCCCCAGATAAGTGAAGCGATCAACATGCTCAACTACTTCACTCCCTTTCACCAGTTCAGGTGCTGACGCAAGCCAATTTCGGAGCAACATTTTGAATTTCGAGCGGGAGAACCGCATCCCGATCATGCTTGCATTGTTGCTTGGGGTAGTCAGAAGACTGCATTTTGTCCGCGTCTTCACCAAGTAGGACTATGTCATCGGCATACTCTAGGTCAACAAGCGAGTCCCCCATTTAATAATAAGTAAACACATTGAACAGAGTTGCCTAGAACTCCGAAGTCAATTACAGGATTTCATAATGAGTATCATCACATTCTGAAAACCAACTTATTGAGGTAATCGCTTTTCACTAACATGATCAAATTGTTAATTTGCCTTAATTTTCTTGTAATCCCAGTTTGCTATTAGGTACTTAACTATTCAGTCTGTCGAGTTATTCAGTGATAAATTCATTGAAATTTAAAATAATTCCGAGTGTTTTATTTTGCAGATATTTCACGATCTTGTCAGGCAAATTAATGCGAAGACACCTGATCCTGCTTCGAAATCATCAAAGAAATCAAAATGCTGTTGTCTCTGAAATGCTGATTTATTTGCTTCTGATGTTATTTATTTTCGCTTCTGTTTTCGCATCTATAAAGCGAACAAGTTTTACTTACATTTGAAGGCGCATTATTAACTCTATTCTGACTCCATGTAATAATTATACCCGTACTATATTAACTCTCTGGTCTCATTCTTGAGATCCAGTCTATTATGTTGATATTCTTTTGTCACAGCACATCTGACGTTTCGTATAGTTTTCGTGAAAAAAATTGTACTTCCATTACGCGCTCCTTGACTGATGAATTCGGAACATAGTTTGCATCTATTTCTAAACGGCTCTAATCAACATGCCATTTTAGCAATATCTTGATGTTATTAATCTCTATTTCGTTTCTTTTAACTTCGGTGTCAATGTTTTGTGATTTTCACGCCTTTTGCCTTAAGAAAAACTTGGTTTTTTTTTAATTTTTGATGTGACAAGTAATTATTCAGTCAGGATTGTGTATAGTTTTTAACTGTATTTCTCTTATTAACTTCGTTTTATTACTAGACATTATTTTTAATCTGCTTGCGTGCTTCGTATACTTTATTACTGTCACATGTATCGGTGATAACCCTTTGTTTTTGCTTTTACATTAATATTTAATATGAATCATAATCACTTTTGTACAAGTTCTGCAAAACCTCTAATTATGAAATGATTCGATTTTCGGCGGAAAATGTGGCAAACGACGAGTGAATTCGATAAACCGAATGACAAGCTCTAATAATTTCCTACATCTAGTTCAAATCCGATTTCGTAGGACAGTTGTTGATAGATTCTTTATATTGGATTGGTTACTTGCCATCATGTGGTTTGGCACTAATTGTGTCGTATTCGTTGACCAGTTTATGTTGATTCTTTATGACTATTCACCGGATATTTTTTCCTCTAAATCCTAGGCGTGGGAGAGGCCGCACGTTTTTTAGCTCGTAGAAACACCGATCAAGTTACTTGTCATTCCATCTAAAACATCCCTGAACCCCTATAACTATATGGCTAGATTCTATGGTCTGTACATCTTAATTTAGCATTGAACTATAGGTCTTGGTGTTTTAATGAAGGCTCCGACAATTCAGTCCAGGACTCTTCGATGTCATACTAAAAATTCTATTCGAGAATGGTCTGCTTACCACAACATTAAACGGCCTGACTAGGAGTAACATAAGGTAGTCACTTATGTTGAACAAATTAATGCAAGGTGCACGTAACCTTCAAAAAGGAATGGCCATATTCAGCGAGGTTCACAAATAAATTTTCTTGGCAAGTACTAGTTATAGTTTTGTTCTATATCTACATCGACATTTATGTCGAAGCTTAGACAGTAACTAAGCTCACAACAGCTATGTTTGTTGAAAATTTGTGGAACTTACTCCTAGGCAAGTTTAGATGCTAGATAAGCTTTGGGGTCAGGTTAATGAAAAATGACTTAGGATCAGGTTAACTGCCGACCTATTACTTTTAAGTCGTACCAATTTATTATCAGGTAATATAAATCTTTGCTAATAAGGAATCACCTATGATGAAAACAATATATCATGTTCTCTAGTCACTGAAGTTATCCCCTCTCTGACTTACATTCCAAACACGAATGGATAAATTAAACAAGCGACAGGTTATGTGAAAAGTCATTTTTCAGTATCTGCAGTTCATATATATAGGTAATGTAGAGAATAAATATTTGGGCGAAAACAGTGTTTAAACATTATCTACATACTCATCATGGTTTGCTCACTATTGCACCAAATCTACAGGACAATCTTAAAACATTATCCGACTTATATGTTTAGTTAGTCACTTGAAAATCTAGAATTTGTTTCAGAAACGTTCAAATCCCTAAATTTATAATATCAAAAACAGTAGAACTCCGTATCTCTGCATATGATAAAAGTTTCTTCCGTAAACCTATTTGAAAGGACTAAATTAGAAGCCACAATAGTCATTTGAGATAGAATAAAGTCATATTCATCATATGAAAATCATCTTTATACTCAACACAAGATGTCATATATATATTTGTATGTCTTCACTTACAGTGGATCCACTAACACAGTTACTGTATTCGCTAATGAACGAATGCCCCACGAAAGATTCACCTATTATAAAACTACTATTCTGAACATGTAACTTCCCTACATTATTTTATGTTTAAAAATTACATGATTCCATACATAAATGGCAAGGCTATATCTCATTACAAATAAATAAATCTTACTAGCTACAAAAACATGATTTCTATGCTCCAAAGCTTTAGTTGTTTGTTTGTACTTTATGAAAGACAAAATAAATTGCAACACTTTACCAGTCAAACGGAAGTTTGTCATTGCGATAACAGAAATATTACAAACTATTTGTTTAATAAATACACATCAGAAAAGTACATAATGATTACTCTGAAAATAACTTTATAGTTTCCTAATTTAAAAAGGGTTCATATACTAAAGAGTTGTCTTTAATCCAAAAAATAATTTCTTTCGAATAATCAGAAAGATTTATTTAATTTGTATTGGTTAGAGAAGAAAAGAGAATTAACAAAACAGTAAGATACTTGATTAGTTATTGTTCACTTAAACAGTTTGTAAATTTCTGAAGAGTATTCATCCAACAGTTGATTTATGGTTAAATACTTTCTTTCTTTTGAAGTATCAATCATGCTAAACCATCAAATATTCGAAAGTAATATTATTTTACTGTAGATATATCTTTATGTTGTATCTATTATGATTTAACAACGATACTTTGTAGCTTTATACTTCACATGTATAGTTGCCTAAATCATGGGTCATAAAATACTTCTGGTAATTTGTCATACAGAAATGTAAGTGGAAAATTTGTTGTTAGTGTCATAGACAACGTCAGAAGAAGCATATCGATTAACTACGAAGAATGAAGACGTTAGAACAAAGAGCTGTACAATCATATTTCTTGCTAGTTTTTATGCAATAATCTATAGTAATATGGGATTCTACGAAATTATCTAAAGTAACCAAACTCATTTAATTTAAGGACAAAATCCATCAGGTGGTGCTGCATAATATAATCAAGATTATCAAAATGTTTCAAGCATCAGGGATGATATAAATGGAATAGGTGTTATTTCAGTACATCAGTATTTAATAAAAGGAGGTCGCATCATCTAGCAAAATAGTCAAAAAATCACCAATCGCTTACGTTAGAAGCTATGAAGGGTAGAATAGAATAAAAATTAAAAATAACTGTTTACTTTGTTAGGGAAGAGAAGACGAAGGTAATAATATGTAAAAATCGTTCATTTATTATACTGCTAAAGAAAATAAACGGCACTTTCTTGTGTAACTACAGTCTTCTTCATTTCATGACATTATGTGTAGCGTGCTGAGTCGAGATTAACTATGAACACCACTACAGACCGATTGCGTGCCTATCACAGAGAAGATAAGTTAATCCATACAAAGAATATATTTGCTGGCTTGTAGTAGTCATAAACTAAGAGGTTCAGTAAAACAATCACTGGTACAATTGGTTATAATAATGAATGTTTCTATTAAAGCAATTGCATTCTCTTCATAAAACTGGAGTCACTACACATGTATAATATGTTTAAAATATTCAGATATCATGGCTTCCTCGATGCCATCTTAATGAGAGGTGATATTCAAACTACTATTTTTATTACTAGTAGAAAATAACTGTTAGGTGGCACAATTTAACTGAAATGTCATTGAATTCACTTTATTGCAATTCAAGGCGTGACTTAGGGAGGTTCTTGTAAATGTTCCTATCTAATCATTTAACAAACTCCTCCAGTAGAACCTTCGGGTCTACTGCCGGTCCCAAGCCCGGATAAAGGAGGAGGGTTGGACATGGGGTTGACGACCCCATTCCGTCGAAATCTAACTTGCCAAAAAAACGCTAACCAGAAAAACTAGTTCAAACCATTTCAACTCTGCCCTGGGAGTTGGAAGAAGAATTATGACGTCGCATGATGAAAGCCGAGTTCCGTCGGAAGTCACGAGGCCGATGCCTCTTCTGACAACCAGAGCAACCATTTTTTTTAAGTACATGGAACGTTCGTATATTGTGGGAGACTGGAAGACTATTTCAAGTTGCGGCACAAATGAAAAGATACAACCTCGAGGTGCTCGGCATCAGTGAAACTCATTGGACACAGGTAGGACAACTGAGACTAGCTTCAGGGGAACTGCTGTTATACTCTGGTCCAAATTTTTTTTTCTTAAAACTAATAAACTCACTTTGCAAGGAAGATTAAACAAAATTATTTCTTCAAATATTTATATTTTTTTGTAGCTGTACGTTGTAATGAAACGGAATTAAATAACAATATTCCTAAATATGCTAAATTAGTGCACGTAATCGTATTACAGAACAAGTATTTGGTTCACATCAGGTTAATCAATTTTATTCATACGAAACGTCATTTCTATCAGATGTAATCCAGGATATTTATTTCATGATCGTACTATAGAAAAATTAGTATCCTGTGAATTAGTACCTGGTTCAGATACAGTTGGAGAATATCGTGGATATTCTGGTACACTACTGCCATTACCAACAGAATGTCAAGGTGAGCTTTATAAATTCTTGTGTTATATCAAAGCCGTTTGAAATCATGCATTTCTAGATTTTGTTTTACGCATTTAATCTCGAACAATTTCATGAGAAATTTTTAAAATTTACTGTAAAGATTTAAATAGTTCATTACCTTCCATATAACAAATGTGATAACTTCTATCATGACTTTTCTAGACAGTCAGCAGCCTGATAGTTTGTTTTCACACATGTATTTAGGTACTTTTTTCGTCAAACCGGCATCCCAAATGCTAAATAGTGTTGTAATGAAATACCCAAGGATGTATTTATCGCAGTCATTTTAACTGTGCTCGATAAAAGAAGTAACAGGAAACAATCATGCCATAAAAAGTTTGACGCAGTATTTACTTACAGCTGTGACCTACCCTTCGTGGAGCATAAACTGTCAACCACGATTCTCCAAC